TATATACATACATACACACACACATTTATTCGTGCATATTGGTTGTTTGACAGCGGTCTTTCTTCACTCTGCTGGATGTGGTATCGATCGCTGAGTTCGCACACGCAGGTTTTTTAGGGCAAATAATGCTTTCCTGTCCCTTTTAACATTCAGTGCGGTCTCTAATACTACTCGCGCAACTTTTCTTGAACGCTGGATTGAATAAATGTTGATGGGGGGTTGTGTTGTGTTAAATGGTTGGTAGATGTATTATTAATATTATATAATATTAGTTACGAAATCGGCCATAATGTTTTATGAAGCAATGCTAATCTCTGGAGAATCAGTCTGGCTTTCGCAACTTTCTCAATAATTTGCATTCTGACTTTATCAGGAGTTCGAGGTATCTCCTGTGATGGATCTTGACCTGTTTCGGACATTTCTTAAGATTTTTTGGGGGAAAATCACGAACACAAATTCTTCACCAGAAAAGTTTCTATTTCGCGCCAGTGAAGATGTGTTTGGAATGTTGTCTTCAGCGAGCTTTTGCCTTCAATTGTGTATTGTGCCAGAGAGGAGAAAATACGGTCATCGTCCAAGAAAAGTTAAGAGGTTAAAGTTACTCTGTGCTCCGAACTACTTACGGTCACGTGCTGGGTTGGTTCACTCAATGTTAAAGGGCGGGGGACTAAGTTTGTTTTCTGTCACGGGCCTGGTGCAGATAGCGCAGCTGTTGCGTTTCAGCGCGCATTTTCAAAGTAAGGTTGTGCGAATGGATCGTGGCGCGTCTAGGGAATATCCAAGAGTATTATCTGCTTTCCCTATGATTCAGATTAACTTGATTTAAAAAAATATTTTTAAATATTGTGTTAGATGTTTCTACTTAAAACCAAAATTGTAAAGTGGTTTATTTATCATTAATTACTTTAAAAGAAGAAAAAAGTGAAAACAGTTTTAAATTGATCATTTCCTTATTGTGTTTTTTTTTCCTTCACATAGATACTATACATTTGAGGGATCTGGTGCAATACTGCCCTAACACACAAAATCTTTAAATTTGAGTACTTATAGTTTCATCACTTCTCATGTGTTCACATTATCGAATAAGCTTGTGGCAACACCTTGTTAGCATGGTTAAAAAAAAAGGCATTCTTTGTACAAAAAAATTTTACCATCTTTTCTGTAATATTACCTGAATCAAAAAACCTCTTGCTGTTGAAAACAACTGATTTCATAAATAACTTACAACAATATTAGACAGTTTTTGAAGTATTAAATTCTATTTAACAGTTGTCCTGTTCCTTCCCACTTAAAAGGTATTTTATCAATATACACAAGGAAAAGGGTTAATATTATTAAAATCACTACGATTAAATACTGTTTTTATTAGTTTTAACAATACTATTTTCATTCTTAAGTATCAATAAAATTCCATTTTTACGAATGCTCGTCTTCTCAAAGATGTCATACTTAATGTGGCATTAGCAAACATTTTACTCAAAATCTAGAATTACAAATATGCTTGAAGATTTAACGCATTTTTCTTGAAACTAACTCAGTGTGTGTATTGTTCCCAAATTTGCTACTATCAACAGACAATGAAATGCTGGGTAAAACTATTATATCATCCAAGTCCATTAGTAAATAACTACTACAAATTGTTAATCGTTCATTTCATAAGCATGCTCATTTTAATGGACATTACATTATATTTTATTTCTCAAATTGTTCAATGATGTGAAAAGTTTATAAGAAATATGATATACTTGTATAAATTGTGTAATTGATTTAAGTTAATCATTGATTTTAAAAAAATTATAATTTTATTTAAATCATACCAGCCTTAATTTTTGGTGACTTTTTTAGCCAAAAATATAATTATAATTTTGATACAATATCGATCATTGATTGGTACCACGATTATTTTGTGTAAGTCTTTGAAAACCAAGGGAAATGAAATTATATTAGTTTTATGTTTGGCAAGTTGATTCGTCTTGTAGTTAGTATTAACATAACAGTAAATATGTTTAGTGTTCAGGGATTAAAGAGGGAATTTCCATTGTTTACAAAAACAATCTTCTATGAAATAAAAATTTTTGAAGATATAACAATTATAATTTGGCCTGTTTCTCCCAAGTTTTAGGCAATCTTTACTTTAAAATAAACAATTGGCACAGATTTCTTTTTGTTTAGGCTACAATATAAGATTTTTCATTTTCTATAGCTATGTGATTGGTTGCTGCACATCATGACAATATTTCCACAAAGTCCACACACAAACTATCCTCATTGAAACCTAAATATGGGCAGAACAATTCTGAATTGTTACAGATGACAGAATTTTGAGAGTATATGTGGAAAAATTCGATTAGATTTTTACTATAACTATCAATAATATTATTACAGAATTTATTGTTCAGGTAATTCATTTACCAATTCAAATTTGATTTAACATTAGATTTAATTAAAATCATCTATAATACATTAACCTTATTTAGCAAGTATGTGAAATATCCAAAAAAGTATTATACATATCTTAATATTTTTAAATTTTAAAAATAAACTTTAGATATTCAGAGTATATTATTTATTACACATTCCAAAACAAGAGTTTTTCAATTGTTCACATTAAAAATTGTTTTGGTTATTTATTAATATATTTCCAGTGCTTGTTAGGCAAGTTTTTCTAAACAAGGCAATTATTATATATATATATATATATATATATATATATATATATATATATATATAATATTATAAATATTATATAAATATAATATAATAGATTATCTTGAAATATTCTTTGAGAAGACAAGGGAGCTGGGCATGTATTAAACACTGTTGATACAATCCATCTTCTAATGTTAGTGAAGTCAAATTCGTTTATATCTTGCCAGTTCTCATACTGCAACTCGATCACCTTCAGAATGGAAACGTAACTCTTACACCTAAGCAAATAAAATTAATTACATTTGCATCATACATTAATGAGAGTATACCTATTCTAGAAATGCAAACAATAATGAATTATGTATATTTGAAAATGAGAGGTTTTGAATACCAGGGTATTGCAAACAATGGATACACAATGGACATATAACAAAACTTGTCCAATAGCATACGAAATAATATGATTACAATACTTTCAAACAAATAGAACAGAATAAATGACATGTACAGGTTTGGTTATACTACATGGATTTACGGATTTTTAAGACTATTTTGCATGGTGTAAATGTTCACAAATTAAATAATCAATTACAATTATGCAACAAGATTCCAAAATGAATTATAAATACCTCCACTGCTGGTAGGGTGAAAATCCTAGCAATGTACTTGTCTAGCACCAGTTTTCTTAATATCATCTTCCAAAATGCTGAAAATAAAGTTTTAGACATGACAAATAAATATCGCAACACAATTCACTCTACTTAAAATGCTGAAAAAATTCGATAAAAAAGAGCACCTACCTGCTTGCAGCCTGCACGTAACGACAAACTAACACCGCCTACATTGCCAGCGTTTTGAATTGCATGACGTCACACGTTTAGTTCGGCTCACTATGGATCCGTTGTAGATGGCGCAAAAAATCATTACCCCGTATTGACCGCCATCTTTCCCTACCCTGGTCACGTGTTCTGGACATCTCTATTGGGCGCCATTGACGATTCGAGATTCAAATCCAGACCTTATCAAAGAGTATATATGCATTTGTGCACCACGTGCTCCACTGTGCACTTGTGTAATATACTCTCTACTGTGAACTGCTGTGAACTGTGTAGTGCAGAAGGGCCAAGTACGTCTCAGGGGGCAACAGGTAGTTTCAGATCAAGCGGGCTAAATGGAGCGCTTTTGTCTCGGTTTTCGATTTATCCACGGCTTCTCTCTGTTCACGTGTAATTTGCTTAGGGCGTGTGGCGTGCTCCGTGGATGAATGCATCTTATGATCATGCATTATATACTAAGTGTGAGTGGTCTGTGGAATGCATGCCTCTGAGCGCAAGATACTGCACACGAAGAGGCTG